CAAAGCGACCAAGTGTGACGACGTGAATATAAAATTATCGTCATATTTTTTATAGATCGTGAGGTATCTAAGTGTGATGATGTGAACACAAATACGTCGTCATATTTTTTATAGATCATGGGTACCTAAGTGTAATGACGAACCCGTGAACCAATCGTCACTCGAATGACGACGCAAGCGTGAATCATTCGTCACTAAAATGATGGAGCAAATACTAATATATCTCTGACTACGCAAGCACAAATTGTTTATTACTCGAATGATGACGCAAGCTTAATAGAGGTCAAAATAAGTAGCTATAAAACAAGTAGGTAACAATATATCTATAAGTAGGTAACAATATATCCATAGGAAGGTAACAACCTAATGTAAGTAGGTAACATTATATATATATAATGTTACCTACTCCCTATTATCTAAAAATATGTATACTAACAAATTTCAACAGATAAAAGAAAAAAAAATATTAATGAAGTTAATAATAAAAGTAATTCTATCAAAAATGTTGCTGCAAAATTCCATATTGCATCTTCAACTGTACATGATATTGTGAAGCGGTTTGATAAGAATGATCAAATTATTCTCAACTCAAAAGGTGGAGATAAAAGATTTATTTTAACAACTGAATATAAAGATTTCTTGACTGAATATATTGATGAAGAGCCATATATAACCATTGCAAATTTGACTGAAAAATTAACTATAAATTTTTTAAAATAATATATATATGTATAAAATATATGTTTATTTATACTATTTTTTATATTTAAAATAAAATATTTTATAGATTAGCAATTTTATGGTTAGAAGATATGTTGACAAACTTGAGTTTACTCTAAAAAGGTTAACAGTAATTCCACATAAGCGTAATACTCCTGAAACTATATTGGCAAGAGAAAACTATATTAGAAAAATTTATGAAAAAAGTATTGATATACATGATAATATAATTTATATTGATGAAACAGGATTCAATTTGCATTTATCTTCTTCACGTGGCCATGCACTATGTGGACAACCTGCTATCAAAGTAGTAGAAACACAAAGAGAAAAGAATATTACAGTTATCACAGCAATTACAAAAGATAGTGTTTTAAAATATAGTTCAAATCTGGGATCTACAAATGCTGATATTTTTTCAAAATTCATTGAAGATCTAATTGCTTTAATTTCTAAAATAATAAAAAATTTCTAGTTTTGGATAATGCTTTAATTCATTGTAAAAGACATAGTTGAAAGTTCACCACATAAAATTTTCTCTCTCTCTTCTTACTCTCTATTTCTGAACCCAATTGAAAATACTTTCTCTAAGGTCAAAGACCTTGTGGCAAAAAATAAATTCAGAGACCGTAAAACTATTTTGAGTAGAATTGATGATGCATTCAAAGAAGTAACTGCAGAGAACTGTGTTGGTTGGATTCAGCATTCTATAACCTATTTTGATTTCTGTTTAAATAGACAAGAAATTAATATATAAATGTATTATTAAAATAGTACATAGTTCTATGATCTATTTTGATTGTTAAAGATAATAGTAATTAAGTTATGCATTTTGCTAAATAGTTAATAAAATTTGCTTTTGCTTTGATATTTGCTTTCAAAAATTTTTTATTACATTTTTGTATTATTTTTATGTACATATTAGCTATTTGTTTAACTACATTTATCTGTTTATTGTCTGGAGCATATGTATATAGCAAGGACAATAGTTAGATAAATATATACCAAAATATCATAAATTTTGATTACATTCTACCTTGATATTTATATAACTTATCTACCAGATATCTAACAGTATCTATCAGGTTTTCTGGTTTATTTTATACAGTTAAATATTTTATAAACAAACCTCCAAAAAAGAAAAGTCAACACATATATACGAACCTAATAAAGTTCTAGTACTTGACATGCAGTCCCAATATAACTATTCAGAAATAAACAAGTAAAAATGATATTGGCAACAATTGCGAAGAATCTTAGCTTAAAACTCTAAAAATAAAATTGGCGAAGAAGTGATCCAGTTAGATAGATATGAAAAGTTGGAGTAATAGTAGACTGTCAAATTTTATACAATAGTCATATATTTCGATAATAGTATAATTTTTAAAACCCTATCAGAAATGGTATATAATTGACTTTTTTTTCATCTTCTATTAGGAATGGTATTTTTACTAATGTGAACTAACTTGATATTAAGTATTTATTGTGCTTATCGGAAAGGCAAGTTAAATTTTATATAGACTTTTTTACAATAAATTATGATAGAAATTATGCCAATTTAATCAAACTAATTTAATCATTACCCTGTGTACTGTATTAGCAAGTTATATAACAAATTTTCTCATAGTTTACAATCATTTTAACACAATCCAACCCAAACTACATACTATATATCACTAGAATATAGGTAAGTTTATAACAGGATTTTAAATTATGAAAATCCCAACTTTTTGTATACTGAAGTTACTAAAACAGTAAGTAAGTCCTGTTATAAAATTTTTATGATAACTCACAATAGAAATTATAATAATTCCAATGCAAACTTAACTGCATAAAAGTCATAATAATTTCAATATAAACTTACATTTTGTAGTTACTAGAATAGTAAGTAACAGAATTTTTATAGTGACTCATAAGAGAAACTATAATTCTAACGTAATTTAATCAATCTAAATTACATCTTGTAGTTACTGAGATAGCAAACACTGTTCTATATCAGAATTTTTTATAGTAACTCATAAGAAAATCATAATTCTAATGCGAACTACCTCAATCTTAATTATATCTTGCAGTTACCAGAATAGTAAGTACTGTTCTATAATATAATTTTTTATAGTAACTTATGAGAAAAATCATGAAAATTTCAATGCAAATCATCTCATACTACATACTATAATAGAAAGCATAATAATTCTAATATAAACTAATGTAACTTTAGTACATACTATATAAGTGCAAAATTACACTCATAGGCATTATTTTGAAAATCAGGTCCTTTAAAAATAACCTGTATGCTTTTAAATTAGCATTCATGGGCATCCTAAACTAACGTGCATTCTAATGTAGCACATAATTAGTTATTGCGATAAATGATTACAGTTAACACTTACTAGATCTTATGATTATATTTCTTGTAATGCTTCATTATCAGATCTAGATCATGGATACGTTAAAGATTATGATACTAGAATTGAAATGTATTATAAAAAAAATTAAATAAAATACAAACAAAATTAAATAATAAAAAATAAATTTTTGCTTTTTTTTGGATAATTAAAATGAATACCTGTGAATACTCGAATACTCAATTAGTTAAGAACTATATATTAATCAAGCATTGGTTTTCAATGTTCTAAATTAATTTTTTTTTTTTTTTTAAATATTAAGGTGACCACTTAGGCCCTTGGCACTTTATTAGTACAAGCGGTAGGCCAATGT